AGTAGTAACTGTTCAATACTGTGACATTATAGCGAGGAAACTGCTGTGTGACCAGAGCAACCTGCAATAGAGCTGGAGGACAGGATGTTAAAAAGGATCCAGTGAACTTCAGACAAGAACTCGTTTTGTGTATGGATGCTTCTCATTTCATAAAGATGTTTTTTATTAAATAAAAAAAAGTGGAAGTGTAAATCCAATCAGATTAAATAAATTCAGTGTGTTTTTCCCAAAAAGGAGAAAAGTCTTCACAGTTGAATTATTTAAGTGTTATGAAGGCAACTTTTGACCCACATGAACTTTCAGGTTTATGTCCACAAAGATCACAGCAGGCAAAGGTTATTCATGTACATAAGTTTCTCTTTTGCTGCATCTTTAAAAGGCACAGATTACCTGTTAGCAGTGGTCATGGCAGGCTTAAGGTAAACTCAGACGACGACGCTGATGATGATGATGGTTTCCCTGTCAGCTTCTCTCTCCTTACGCTTGGTTTAACTTTTGTTGGTCAGGTTCACTTTCACTAACAGTAACATAACATGTTTTTGACAACTTGATTATTCTTATTTGACTTTTCTAGTGTCTAACTTCTGCACTCTGTGTGTGAGGAGGTGTCCTCACATTGACAGGAGAAAGTAACGCACTGCAGCTTAAGAAAACACCAGCCATCAGAAAAGTGCAGCAAACCTAACAAAACACAACACAACCGTTTTTGGGGAGACAATAAGCTGACGGACCAGCTGTGGAAGTGACAAGCTAACAGTAAACGGCTACAACACTGATGAATCTTCTGCTCCTCATAAGTTTTGGTTTCTGTCACTTCTGTGTCCCCAGAATCATTCATTTTTGTTTCCTAATACAGTAAATTCAGATTCAGTAGATTCTTATTATTTTATGTATTTGTTAGGAAAGCTGTTTTAAGTCAAGCCTGATGTGATAACACACATAAGAAGTGTCCTTGCCACAGCAAGAATTAAAGCTTAATCATATGGTAAATGGTAAATGAACTGGTTCTCACATAGCGCTTTTCTACTCAATATACTGAAAAGCACCTGAATCCAAAGTATCGGTATTAAAGAAGAACTAGAAGTAGTTGGGTAAATGCCTCTTTAATTGGCTCCTGCTGAACCAATGACCGAGGATGAGCTGTTGAGTTTATATGCCGGTAAAGGTGCACATCACTGCCATCCTACAAGCTGAATGACAACATTTGCAAACTTTAAGACCTTTAAAATGGTGTCGACTGCACGGTTTGGAGTTTGATGTGGTAGCGGTGCAAAGTGCTGCATGTTTAGTGCTCTCCCCAAAGAGTTTCAATTGACACCTCCTTCTGATGCTTTTGCTGCGTAGTAGACATGATTAGTAAATAGGAAAGTTCATCAGTTTTTATCTATTCAGAGCTAATGGGCCTTTAGTGAATGTGAACCAGGCATCATCCTGAGAGGAGATTTTTGGTCGCTTGGTCAGAGCAGAGCTGATACCTGCAGAGCCTCCTGGGAGATGAAGTCTATCCCTCACACGTTCCTGTCTCAGAGTTTTGGGCGTGTCCGGGGGGGTCGGCAATCATGTACAAACGCTACTGAGGGGTGACTGATTGCTAAAGAATCCCAGAAGCCCTGCGGGGACGCCATGTGTTAAAGAAGTTGGAGAAGTATTTAAAAGAAAGTGTTTTTTTCTGTCAGCTGATGTAGTTTGGCAGCTTTTCAGAGCTCATTTTAAGGCGAGGAAGGATGCAGCGTTTCCTTAACGTGTCAGCGCAGCGAGGAGCATCCTTCACATCCGCCCTTCAGATCAGCTCGCTGTCCCTGCAGGAGTTAATTATAAGAAGCATCAAAGCTGATCCTGAAAAGCAAAGAGGAGGAACTACAGGCCCCCGGCGGACCACGGCGACCTTTGATTTCTGCCGGTCCTCCGAGTGTTTTTCTACATGTGCGTGCTGTCAACACGTTCTGTGACGGCTGCGTTTCCTCTGTTGGAGGAAGTTTTCTCGTGTCGTGGAGGAGCAGCGGGGCGAGCTTCAGAGTCAATGTTTGTAGATCTGAAAGCGACTGAGAGACTCTTTATTCCTGCAGCTTGTCCCCACGAGCGGCTGAATAATCCTCCCCTCGTTTGACCCGCTGGGGCCGGCAAGGAAAGCAAACAGCCACTTAAAACCAGCAGAGAGAGTGAGCAGAGGAGGGTCAACTAAAACCTGAGCACAGTTTACCTTTCGAGGGTTAACTGTTGCCTGAGACAAGTTCTCAGAGACTGAAAAGATGTTTCATTTTCTCTGAACAACGATCTAAAACCCAAACATTGTCCGTTTCTGGTTATTGAAAACATGAGCGAAGCTGATCACATCCAAAACAAGTTCTTCTCTGCAACGAAAACAAACGAAAAACCAAAGGTTTGAATTGTTCATCAGACTGTTTAATCAGCGTCCTCCAAAGTCCTTGCAGCCTAAAAACCACCAAACAGCTCTGAAAGGAAAAACTGAAAGGAAGCGTCCACGGATTCTTCATCATTCTGGCTTTAAATGTTTAATGTGACTGATGAATCAAGATAACTAAGTGGACATATTTATGGGGAAAGGCCACCATAAACTTAAAGGGACAAGAAAAGCAGGTAAAGCTGTTTATTGATGAGTCAGGTAGTGATTTTCAGGGAAAAATGACACAAAAATCTGTACAATCTCAGAAGGTTTTAGGGACTTTGGGGCAAAGAAAGGCTGTTCAAATGCTTTAAGTAAATTTGCAGATAAATTAGGGGTAGAAATGATTATTAGGTCAGAAAGAAGGTGCAGGTTAATTAGAGTTTCTAAGGCCTGTGACGTGGACGTTTCTCTTCTCTCGGTTTCTTTTTCGGTCTTTTGAAATCTGCTCTCAGGAGTCCTTTTGTTTTTCTCTAAAGCACAGAGAAATAAATCTCCGACTGCGCAAAAACATGCTGTATCTGAACGTTGTGGACGTGTCGGTGAAGCTGCTGGAATCTGTTTAATGATTTCTGTTTTCAGGGGGAAATGACACAAAAAAGCCTGAACATGTGCCGCTTTCATGCAGCAGAAATGACAGAGCAGGTCTTTTAGCAAAAATATGTGAAACAGAAGCCGACCGCTTTCAGTTAATAAACAGATTTCAGCTTCAGCGACAGATCCAGATGTTTAGAACAGCTGAGAATCAGAGCGGTTCCTTTTCAGCCCGAACTGCTTCAGTCTTTCAACATGAAGTCAAAGCACCAAAGAAAATCAGCGGACGGAGCTTCACGTCAGCTTTAATTAATAAAGATGGGAAAATCTTTGAGTTCCTCTGCGGCTTTTAGGTTTTATACGACTTTATTTATTTTCCCTTAAACTCCTGAAGTGTTTCAATTGGACTGAAACCCAAAAGGAGACAGAGAGAGGCAGGAGGAGAAGCAGGCTTTATCTTCACCTTCAGCCCCTCGTTAAATCCTACAAAAAAAACAATCATTGCATCGCTGATTTATCTGCACTTTCAACATTTTAATCTCAGTTAATTCACATCACACTGATTTTATTTTTCCAACACACTCCTAAAAAAGTCCTGCTCAGATTGCTCTCATTTAGGAAGAAGGAAAGCAGCAAATATTATCCTGGAACAAAACAACAACTCCCGACTCATCAGTGAACAGCTTTAGCGACACATCTGGATGTTGTTCTCACTTTAAAGCGTGACCTTTGATTCAGGTGGGAAACATCTGCAGCAGCTGAGAATCGGAGCGTTTTGAAGACGGCTGCTAACCGGTGCAAATATTTGCTCAAAATAACAAAAAGTTTCAAGCTCAAATCATACAGGATGCAAAGATGGAAGATTTGCTTCTTTTCTCAAAAGAGAAAGAACTTTTTTTTCTGTGTCTGAAACAAGCAGGAGCTGTAAATCAGTGTGTTTAGTTTGGTGTTCAGACAATTTAAAAAACCTCTTTTCAGGTATTTTTCACTTTTAAACACTCAAATGTGTTTTTTTCAGCTCTCGGGGCTCCCTCTTTCCTAGGACAGAGGTCAGGTTGTCCACAGTGTGTTTTTTTCTGTGCTAAACGGTGAATCTGCTTCTCTCCCTCCAATTCCCTTCTCTGCTTTTCATCCCACTGAAACCCACCAGGAGCGATGCCCCGGGGCCACACGGCGTAATTGCTGCGGACTTGTTGTTTTGTGGGATAAGAGACTTTTGAGTCCTCACAGCGGGGCGTTTCTCTCCCCCCCCTCTCTCGCTCGCCTCAATCTTTTTCTCCCCCCCCCTCCTCCTTCCCGAATCCCTCGTTTTCCCCCAGTTTTCTCTTTCACTTCTTCCAGCCTCAGTCAGGATGAAAGTGGACGTCCCCGTCCGCCGTCGCCCATGCCCATGTCATCCTGAATAAAGGGGGGCCCTCCATTATTTTCTCCCATCTCTGCACCCCTTCCTCCTCCTCCTCCTCCTCCCTGACTGCTGGAACTCTTCATCCTGCACAATGGAATTGCACTAAAACTTTTTTTTCTGATGCAAATTAATGCAACCGGCCTTTCAGGATTCAAATAAAAAAAAAAATCTGCTGTGGACTGGAGCTGAGGGAGGAAAGGAGGTGTCAGTGCGCCTCATGTTTGTCTGAGGCCTTCAGGAAGCCTCCATCAGAACAGCTTTTAAATTCATCTGATTTTGAGGCTGTAAAAAGTGACAGTAATGTAAAGGAAAAGCTCGGAGAGCATCTTAAATATCAGGTTGCACATTCCTGGAATTCCTGCTTCCTTGCAAACCTTCAAACATCACCTGGAATAAAAGCTCCCAAAGTGTCTTCTTCTCCCGTTTCTCACCTGCTCTTGTGCCAGAAAACGATCAAGTATTAAAATCAGATGATTTTTTTAAAGCAAATTTAAGTAAAAATACTCTGAAATTAATTTTAAAAATATAACTGATAGAAAATAAAGCAAGTGTGATATTTAAACTCAATTATTTAAACTGATTTAAAAGTTGCAGACTGCGCTCTGCTCGGAGTTTCTAATGTTTCCGTAAGCACATGGCCGACCAGCGGAGACTCACCCGACCTTCTCCTCAGTCTTCTGCTCTCTCCTTCTGTCCTTCCACTCAAACTTTTCCTCTCATCTAAGACCCACAAAGCTTGAAATCCATGTGCGGTGCACGCAGACACGCGGAGGAGTGCGCGCCTCGGGTGGAAAAGTATCCGCAGAAAGATGTCCGAGCGCACAGCCTGAGTGGGACTCGGAGCAGCAGAGGAAGACTCCGATCAGCTCTCCACGCCAAAGTTTGGAAGAGAGGAGGAACTTTTTTTCCTGTCCGGGGATGCTGCGGAGCGTCACTCTGGATGGCTTCACCGCCCTCCCCTCTCTCTCTCTCCTCTCTCTCTCCTCCCTCTCTCTCTCTCTCTCTCTCTGATGGGACGGACAGACCTCCTCTTCATCACCTCAGAGGAGAGGAGTGACTCTCACTCCGCGCACACAGCAAACCTCAGAACTTCCCAATAACTCAGACTGAAACAGAGAGATTCAGGTTACCTCAGAGGCATTACCGGCTCACTTTACCCCGTCAGTTCATCAGTTTGATGTTTAATAGTAGTGCAAAACTCCGTGTGTGTGTGTGTGTGTGTGTGTGTGTGTGTGTTTGCAGGTGTCCTATTTAAAGCCATTCGGCGCAAAAAGGCGCCACATAACAGCGCGTCTCCGCATAATTGAGGTTTGCGAACACGATCTCAGTTTTTAAAGGTGAATATTTCAAACACACTCCGAGTGTTTCTGTGAAAAGGAAGGATTAAAAAAAACTGCCTGTGTTAATTTAACTGTGTGTGTGTGTGTGTGTGTGTGTGTGTTCTGTCTTCAAAGCTGGACTCAGGCTCCTGACTGAGAGTTTTACTTAAACTTAGTTTTCCTGAAGGCGCAGTAAGCGGAAGGAGAACACGCACAGGTGCATTTCAGAGTGATACTGACACCTGGCGGTGGCTGCCTGCCACTGCACGACGAGTGTCGCTCATAACAGACGCATGAACATGAAGACAGTAAAATGTAGTGAATAAATAAACAAAATAAATGAAATGACTTTCTCTTTGTTAGACACATAATTATAGAAGAATAGAATAGAATAGAATTTCCCTTTATTGTCAATGTATATGTGCTCCGTGCCAAATGTAAAGGAGTAGAAAAAAAATTAAACATAGATGAAATAAAATAACCTTCTCATATCAAAGACACACAGATATTAAATAATTATGAATGAATGTATTGATTAATAATTAATTAACTATTTAATTAATCAATTTAAATGACTTTCTGATTAAAAGACACCGAAATATTAAATAAAACTATTGTATTATCATATAGTTAAAGTTAAATCACTTTGACTTTAATCTTGGGCATAACAGTAACAACAAATCTATGTTGTACATATATTAATAATGATGACAACAGTGGTTTATTATTGTGTAATCATCTTAACAGTGAATTCATATTTTTATTTTTGTATTTAGTACTTTATTGATAATGACTATTATAATTATTATGTACTATTTTTTATTATACATTTAATTGTATTGCTACTCTTAATAGTAGTAGTAGTAGTAGTATTGTTATCCAGCAGAGGCTCTAATTGTTTTATGTGTACACTTTTTATTTTGTTTAATAATAATTATTACTATTTTTAAAGATGTACTGTGTTTTATAATCACACAGTTTGATTTGTTAAACATTATTGCTATTCTGTATTTTGTATATGAATAACAGCAACAATAATAGTATTTTAGTTTATAATGCAATCATAACGCAAATTTGTATTTTCTTTTAAGATTTTAATAGTATTGAGTATTATTAGAGTACACATTCAATAATTCTTACATGTTTTACACCATTTTAATAGAAAAAAATATAAAGTTAGGAGTAATGCAGACAGTTTTGGATTACATGGAGATTTCTGCAAAGACAGAAAAAAATTAAAGTGTATTAATTAATCTTATAAATGACTGACACACAGCAAACAGGAAGTAAAGCAGAGGCGCTGAGGTATCTGACCTTAAACAGAGAAGTATGAACCCCACGTGTCCTTCAACATGATTGTTCTTCACGGACACTCATTTTATCTTTACAAAATGCTGTGACCAACACTTGTGTTGTGACAGCGCCCCCCAGTGGATAAACTGTGTGACTACAACAAACACAAGGTGAATATATGGTGTTTCTGTCCTTCAGCTTATTGTTCATTGATGATAAAAGGCTAAAGCGAGTAATTCCCTACACCAAATGTGGTAAATGTGATTATGCATGACTTTGAGCGACTCTTGTCCACATACAGACATTTGATCAGACTCAGACTCAACATTATTGTCATTCAGCCATTGACATGATATGAACTAATCACAATTCTTTAGCTCTCGTTATTGCAGCTTATCACGGAACTAAAGTAAAAACAGAATAAATATTTGTACATCTTACAACACTAAGTACTAAATATGTTAAATAAAAATGAATCTAAATCTGCTGCCTGAAATCAGATCAAATCAGAAATATATTTTTACATATTGTAAATAAAGTCATGTTTCTAATCATTTTAAATACATTTCAGTTATTTAGTGAATGAAAAAATTGAAGAAATAAAAGTGACTGAAAATTTTATCAGTTATAATTGATAATAAATTAAAATGTCTGAATCTATCTACGTCTACCTATTTATGTTTCGTGTAGATAAATCCGTATTTTAGTAGGTAAACAGTAAGTGCATTAATAGAGAAATTAAAAGAGTAGAAAATACAATTGTATCAAATAAAAATATACATTTATAATACATTATAATTTCATCCATTTAAAAATATTATTTATGTTGAATTTCATGTTTTTTTCTTTTAAATGCATTTATTTTTTATATATGGCAGTTTATGTCTTCTGTATGTATATATGGAAGATAAAAACTCTTCCACTGAGGAATCTCCTGAGCTTGACTGATTACAGCTCCACTGATGAGCCTCCGCAGTCCTCCAGATGCTTCCTGGGAAATGAAACATCCATCAGCTGTTGTACTCGGATTACTCTGCAGCCAGGTGTGAGGACCTGACAAAAAGCAGAGAAAGCAGAGATGTTTTTGTATTTCATCAAATTATCTCCACCTGCTGGTGAGTGTTGAGAACTTTAGTTTTATAAGAACCACACGGTTCTCCAGTTACTTGTTTACTACTGCTAGCTTTAATAATAATAATATTAATAATAATACATATTACTGTAAATAATAAATTATGATGGGTTAAACATGTGGTGTCACCTCCTGGCAGAAAATTGGACCATCTGCAGTCTGATCCTCGACTGCATCTGTGCGGCCAAATTAAATGAAAATAAAGCAGCTCAGTTCTATCATGACGGTTAAAAAAAAGGTGATGTATCACTCGTATCACTTCCATATGGAGATAATCCTGCCTCACAGCAAAAATAATATTGAATATCTTTTCTTGTTTAAAGTAGAGCGTGAGAAATCTGCCTCCCATCTCCACACCTGATCCTGATGACTTCCACAGACGTTCCTGTGCTCGTCCCCAGAGCAGGAAGAAATCTGACTTTTCGGGGTTTAAAGTGAAGTGCGTCATAGTGGATGGAGGAGGCAAAGTTCACAGCTTTAGTCCATCAGCCTCTGAACATGTAACTGTTCACTGGAGATGTGTCGATCATCTTTGCTCTTTACTGGCTGTAAGTGTAAAAACAGGTCTAGACAGGTTTGCACATTTATACTGAAGGGGCTCTCCCAAAGTGTTCAGATGTATGAACATACAACATTTGGCGATAGGAAACATTAAAAAAACTAAATGAGATGAAAAACTTTCAAAATGTTTGGTTGGTTATTAAAACTTCTTCATCAAATACAGTTTACAAAACAATGCCAAATATATCATGAGCACATTTTCTTTTTAATTTGCTTTTTGTTAAAATGTACAAGAATCATTCACATCAAAAACACTGGAAACATACTTAACTGAAGAGACTTAACAGTAAGATTTAAAGACATTTTGGGGTAAATGGTAAAAAAAAGATTGCTTTTTGACTAAAAAGTGTTAATGTGTAAAAACGTATAACAAGTAAACATGATAAACCCAGCATGTTTATTTCCCCGAGGGCCCTACATCAGACCTTGCATAATTATGAGATTTTTATCTGTTATGATTTAAACTTACAAGTGGCTCACATTTGTCATTTCACCATCAAGACACTAGTTGGCGCTGGTGTTCCTCTGTTCAAGTTGATTCAGCGTCTTCTGGTCATTTGAAAAATGGCAGTAGAAGAAAACAGAAATGTGTGTCAGGAAACAATCATACGAACAGGCCAATCACAGACACTGCAGGCAAGAGCGACCTCGTGTGCGGTTACATTTGTAGCGAGGTGTCTGTCAGGTACAGAGTACAGTCTGAGAAGATGTCAGTGTCCCAGAAACAATTTGCTGGTTACAGCTCATGTTCAGAAATACTTAGAAAGCTTCACTGTATGTTCAACGCCTTAAACACTAAATAACTTTTCACACTGTTATCTTAAACTCAGCCAACTACTTTACTGTACTGTTCGTATACTCACAAAGAGTATTAATGCACACAGCAGGGCTAACTCCCTGTGTAACAATGTACCTGCTTTTTCATTGTTCATGATCATAGTGACACTGTTGACATTGTTATCCTTATTTCATGAGGATAGTGTTGTGTGGTCAGTGCTTAGTTTTCCATACTGACACTCACTCTGTTCTACTGTTGCTTTTCCTTACTCTCATGTTCAGTCTGATGTCTCCTTCAAGCCTCGATATTAACTTTACTTTCTGGCCTAATTTCATTCAATTTTATTCAATTTTATTCATGTAGCACCAAATCACAACAACAGTCACCTCAATGCACTTTATATTTAAGGTAGACCCTACAGTAATACATGCAGAGAAAAACCCATCAATCTTATGACCCACTATGAGCAAGCACTTTGGCGACAGTGGGAAGGAAAAACTCCCTTTTAACAGGAAGAAACCTCCAGCAGAACCAGGCTCAGGGAGGGGCGGCCATCTGCTACGACCGGTTGGGTTTAGAGGAGTTCACTACTGGAAAACTGAACTGGAGCTTTCACT